TGGAACTCAATGTAGCCAAGGCCAGTCTCAACTCACAGCGATCCTCCTGCTTCAGCCTCCCAAGTGCTGGGATTACAGGAGTGAGCCACTAGGCCTACATCTCATTTTTACAAGGACAAAAACAATGGGATTACAGGTGTGAGCCATCACGCCTGGCCTGCATCTCATTTTTATAAGGACAAAAACGAGAAATGGAAAGAGATTCTGCAACTGAATTAGCTACTTAAGGTTTTGTACTGACTAGGTGCATTTGAAATAGTTTATTTATAAATTTTTATTAGGGTTTTTTTTTTTTTTTTATAGTATATTTTTTGTACCAGGGATTGAACTCGGGCCCTTATGCCTGCAAGCAGGCGGCGGAACCACTGAGTTAAATCCCTGGCCCCCCATTAGGATTATTTTTAAGCAGACTTTTGTTTTTGTCCTTTTATTTATTTTGGGGGGTGTCACTGAGTCTCCTGAGCAACCCTTCTAGTCCTAGAGGACATTTTCATAGTGTAGTGTCATTTTTCTGTGTGTATATATTAGTATAAATAAGGAAAATCTATAAAAGCCAGGTGTGGTGGTGCACACCTGTAATCCTAGTACTCGGGAGGCTAAGGCAGGAGGATTGAAAGTTTGAGCCAAGTCTGGGCAACTTAGCAAGATTCTTTCAAAATTAAAAATTAGAATAGAACTGGGGATATAGCTGAGTGCACATGGTCCTAGGTTCAATCCCCAATACTGAAAAAGAAATAAAAGTGTACATAAAATAGTCTTGCACAATTGTGGCTTGGACTATCCAGATGGTTTAGCTGCTTCCTTTTATTTGATAAACTATCTTAAGCACAAAGTAGCTTTCCTGTTAGTTGCTGAAAAATATTTGGAAGACCTAAGTGTGGTGGCACATGCTTGAAATCTCAACTCTCTGGAAGGCTGAAGCAGGAAGATCAAAGGTTCCAGCCCAGTCAGGGCAACTTAGTGATTTAGAAAGACCTTAGCTCAAAATACATTTTTTTTTTTTAAAAGGAAAGAAAAAGAAAAAGGAAGACCAAACTTTATTCTAAGAGTTCTGAAAGCACGTTTGTATCTTTCTTCATCTTGCAGTCTCAGGGATTTAGAGATGCTGTTGCCACTGCATGTTCACTGCAAACGGAAGGTTCGTCGAATTCCCGGAAACGATCTCGAGATCCAGATGAAGAACAGTAACCCCAAAAGTAATCTCAAAGTTTATTGATGTTGTGAAGTTCATTGTGTACAAATAGTATAATCATGCCTGGGATTTGGCTCAGCGGTTTTGCCGCCTGCCTTGCAAACTCAAGGGCTGGAATTTGATCCCTGGTACCAAAAAGAAACAAAAAAACCAAATAGTATAATGATTACTTGAAAATATAAAAACATCGAGGCATGAACAAATCAGGATTATATGAAGTTAATGGAAAAAATAAGAAATAGATTTTCTGAGAAAGGTTTTCTAAAGCAGTTTCTAAATTTACATTTTGCTGTGTTTTCATTTTGAGTCACATTTAAGAGAGGGGGCTAGAGATACAACGTATTCCAGATGTGTAAAGCTAATCTCATGTGGCCAATCTTAAATACTATTCAGACTGGAAAAGTTCTTTGCCAGTTGGCCTAGATAATTCTAGGAATAGATTTGTTTTTATATATTTTTTCTCTTTAACTGTAGCTTTGTTAATGCTTTAAAATAACCTATTTTTATTAAGTGAAACCATGAGTCAGCATGTTGTATTTGGTTTTATGGGTAGAGCCCGATTTTGTTTGTTTGTTTGTTTGTTTGTTTTTTGGTACTGGGGATCAAACTCAGGACCTTGTGCTTGCTAAGCAGGTGGCAGAACCACTGAGCTAAATCCCTGGCCCCTAGGGATTTATTGACTGTAACGTATTTTGATCATACTCATCTTCCTATTACCAGCCCTTATACCTACTTCCCCTCTCTTGATATTCCCTTCATGTTGTCTCATAATAGTCTCCCATCAATTCTCATTCCTTTTTTTTTTTCTTTGGTACCGGGAATAAAACTCGGGACCTTGTGCTTGCGAGGCAGGCAGCAGCACCACTGAGCTAAATTCCCGGCACCCCTCCCATCTATTCTTTTGTCATCTTTTCAGATTCCATATACGTACTAGGGATCCTTTTTTTTTTTAAGGACTCAAATTTTAAGATAACTAAACTGATTATTTTTTTTGTCTGTTTTTGTTTTTGAGATAGAATCTTACTATGTAGCCCACACTGGCTGCAAACTCATAGCAATCCATCCTCCTCCCTCAGCCTCCCATGTTTTGGGATTACAGGCGTGTGCCACCATGCCCAGCAACCAAACTTATTTTAATGGCCTCAGTCCAAAATCTAAGCCATCTAATTTTTGATGTTATTTTATAATGTTAAAGGGAAGTTTTTGTAGCTGTCATCTAAAAATTGTTTGAAATACATATCCTCCAGAGTGCTTAGGTTGGTAAGTTATTTCTTTCTTTTGGGTGTTTTGTTTTTTGTTTTTATTTTGGTGTACTGGAAATTAAAAAAACCAGGGGCACTCTACCACTGAGCTACATTTCCAGTCTTTATTTTTTGAGGGGCAAGATCTTGCTAAATTACACAGCCTGGCTTTAAACTATTGATGCCCCCTGCCTCAGCCTCCCAACTAGTATTTCTGTAGTTTTGAAGTATGATATAAGGTTTCATTCTAGAATTCTAGATGTCTTAACATTTACCTTTGAATCTTTTTTGTTTCACATTTTTAAATTAGTGCCTATTAATGAGTTTCATTTTGGCAGATTGGTGCATACACAGAATATACTTTGATCATTTTTACCCCACCATTGTCCCCTGTGCCTGGCCACTCCTCTAGTTTAATTTTTTTCCCTCTGAGGGGTTTATTGTCTATAATGTATTTTGATCATACTCATCTTCCTTTTATCACCCCTTATACCTACTTCCCCTCTCCTGGTATCCCTTCACCTTGTCTCATAATAGTCTCCCATCTATTCTTTTGTCATCTTTTTCAAATTCCATATACTTACTAGGGATCTTTTTTTTTTTTTTTTTTTTTTTTTTTTTTTTATGTTAGGATCAAACCCAGGGCCTTGCATATGATAGTTAAGTACTCTACCACTGAGCTACATCCCTAGCCCCAGAAAAAGTTATTTAAGTAATTGCAAATTATTTATTATAATAATGATATTGTCAAGATTTTAGTAAAAAGTGGTACTTTCTGTTCCAGGCTTAGTACTTATTTTGTAAAATTTCTTCAGTGCAACCATTCTGCAGTTCCTTATACAGAGGAGAGCCATAATTCACCAGGTCTGTTTGAGAGTAAAAGCAGGCATTGCTAACAATGATACCAGAACAATGAACATAGACCACTGAGTCGATTGCAGTGGTCTGATTTGTAATCCCAGCTCCTTAGGAGGCTGAGACAGGAGGATTACAAATTTGACCCCAGCCTGGGCAACTAAGTGAGACTTTGTCTTAAAAGAGGCTGGGGGTCCAGGGATTTTAACTCAGTGGTACTGCCACTTGCTGCCCAAGTGCAAGGTCCTGACTTTAATCCCTGGTACCAGAAAAAAGAGAGGCTGTGGAGGTAGTTCAGCAGCAAAGCATCCCTGGATTAAATCCCTAGTACCACAAAAAATAAACAAACCAAGGTTGTCCCAGTCAAATCAAGCAAGTCATCTTAATTATGTAAGACTGATTTTAAATGACCACTTTAACATTGGATGACTTATTGTAATTGTCTACCTTTTAAAGGCTTAAAAATGTTTACAGTGGATATAATCATTAAAAAATTTCTGTCATTTTATATTCTATCCGCTCAAATCATGAAGTCAAGAGTTCAGGGTGTTCTAAATGTTAAATATTTTATCAGTGAGCATCAGAAAATGTTAAGATCTGTCTTTTTTTTTTTTTTTTTTTTTTTTT